GGGGGTTTATCTTTTTGCGTGTGGCTAGTTTTGGACATGTCCCACGTCCAGTTATCGTGCAGCGCGCTGGAGCGGCTGGTGGCCCGGAGGACCTTCCCCCTCCACCGGCGCACCGGCGTGTGCCGCAACCTCTTCGGGCCGGTGGACCACGACGAGCTGAGCCGGGACGTGAAAGCCGCCCTGCGGGAGGTTTCCGAGCGGGACCAGCAGAGGTGGAACTTTAACTTCGAGGCCAACGCGCCCCTGGACGGGGATTACGAGTGGGAGGAGGTGCCCGTGGATAACGCGCCGGCGTTTTACCGGGACGCGGCGGCGCCGGGAGACCGGACCCGAGCCCCGGCGACGCCCGTGAAGCAGCAGAGCCCCTTCCCGGACTCTGCCCTCCCGGAGAGTCCTCCTGCGGACGTACTGGAGCGCTTGGCCGCCCCCGAAAGCGTTGGCGTCGGAGGCAGTGCCCGCCCGGCGGAGGCCAACCAGGAGAACCGCGCGGACAAGCTGAACTCAGGGAGCCGGACGCAGGCTCCGCGCGCCGGCCGCAGGAGACCGGCCTCTCCGGACACCAACGCGCACATCACAGGTGAGCCCAAAAAGCGTGTTTGGAGCCGGGCCGGGATATGGAGCCAGTATTTGGTTCCGTCTAAGAATGTCTCAAAGGAATGCCCCGAAAGCCTCCGCTGTTTAAAATAAAAAAAAAAAAAAATCCCATCGTTACTTTTATTTCTAAGGTTGACTGATCTTTGTTTTTATCCTTTTCATAGACTACTTCGTCAAACGGAAGAGGCCTGCTGATAGAAAAGCGAATGACATGAGCTCTTGCCACCTTTCCAAGTCTCCAATCCCGCTGGAACAAACTCCACGAAAGAGGATCCGTTGAAGGTAAATATATATCTGAGCTCTTTTATCGCTACTTTTATTATGGGTGACAATAATTCGGGTTGATATTTATACAACGTTTAAAATCACGTAGAAAATCTACAGTCAAATTGATGATAACTGGAACATTGGGTCTACTTTGTAAGTCGCTTTGGATAAGAGCGTCTCCTAAACGCATCAACACAAACATAAAAATCTATTTCCATTGTTTCTAATTCGGTTTTTAATCTGTCACGTTCCTAATTGCTCGAGATTAGATGAGCCAGACAGTTTTATCAGGGTGGATATATGTGTGTGTATGTGTGCGTAAGAGAGAGAGAGGGGGTGGGGGCGTTTTTTTCTTTTTTCTTTTTTTTTTTGTGGTGGTGAAATGGCAGTAGTAGCGATAGTAGTAGCTGTAGTAAGAGCAGGGGTTGGGGGAGGGGGAGAAGTGCGTCACCGTGTGGCGGGAAAAGCGCGCCTCTAAAGGGGCGACGCCCGCCCGGCGCGCCCCCGGCTCCCGGTGCCCTCACACCGCTAACACCGGCCACTCACCTCCTGTCCTGTTTCCTTCCTCAGATGCCGTGTTTTTTTCTCTATCCTTTTGCACTATTTCTTGAGGATTTCTGTTGAGGAAGAAAAAGAAGAAGAAGATGGGGGGAGGGGGGAGAGGTTGTTGGTGGAAAAAGCCGTTTTTTATTCCCGTCGGAGGAAAGAAAAAAAGAGGACGGAGGGGGAAACAAAGAAGTCCCGGCCGTGGCTCTGCTCTCCGGACCGGACTCTCAGGACTCAACGGTTTGGTGGACGGAGAGGGGACAGACGGAGAAAAAAACCAACAACAACAACAACAAAGCAAGTCAAAACACAAATAAGAGAAGCTCCACCTAACGACTTCTATCCAGTACAAATGTAGCATTCATTGTTGCTTTTGCATACAGCCACTCGACAGTGTTAAATGTTTTAACATCTGTGCAATCCTAAAAGAATTTCTTTAAAAGAATACACTGGCCAAAAGTGTACAGCTTTATAGAGACAACAGCCTATAAATGTTTATTTCTGTTTCTGTTTTTGTTTTTCTGTCAAATGTATATATATTTTTAAGTTTATTCTAACTTAAGTTATTTGTGTTTCTATTTAAGTTTCTGTTTATTTGTTAAATGCCTCCTTGGTTTAGACAACGGGGATATCTCTATTTTTTATCTTAATATTTGCTGTTTTGTTTATTTTATTATTATTTTTTTTGCAATCATGTAGCTTCACCATAGTTGTACACACTTGAAAGATAGTTGTCTTTGTCTCTGAGCCGTTTGTGTTTTTTCATACAAGTGCCCTGATTATGTCTTGTTTGAAGATGAGAATAAAAAAAAAAATTCTTTCACTGCAACCTAAAAGATTTGTCGGCTTATTTCGCCGTTTGTTTTTTTTGGTTTTCCCTTCTGCTTCCCTTTTTGTTCTTCTGAAGCTGGCTGAAACTGAGATATGAGGTCGTCTCAGACTCCTGCATCTCTGGCAGCATTACGAAACAAAACAGAAAAAAAAAAAACCCTTCTCCTTTTGGTCGCAGGCCGTTATATCGAGTGGTTTCCTTGAACTTTACACCGAGCTGCATACTTCATCCTTGTGTCTATCTGCCTCCGTGGACTCTCAGACCTTGCGGTGGTTAAAAAAAAAAAAAAAAAACAACAAAAAAAAAACACAGCATTCATGAGACGCAACCTTGATGGCAGCTGCGGGATATAGGCATGGATTTAAAGGCCCTTTTCGCCCCTCTAAAGAAGCAGCAGCTGCCTTTGGATCTCCGCTTTGTCCGCCATGAAGACACCCCCACATCCACCCGCACTCAACAAGCCCTCTAAAGACCCCCCCCCCACACACACACACACACGCACACACACACACGCACAGTGTTTACCCTGCCGCACGCAGATACACCGGGCGTGGAGGCCACCTGCCAGAGCTGGAAAAAGAAACCTACTAGTCTTTGTGATTGTCCTGGTTCTATTGAAACAAACCATTCAACAGGTCATACTTGCAAGTTTACCCTTAATTGAAAGAAGCCAAAGGACCGGCGCATGGGCCTATCCCCCCCCCCCCCCCCCCCCCCCCCCCCATCCTCTGCTCCATGGTCGCCTTATCTGCTCAAACAACCCCAACAACTGGCACGTTTAACCATATTTCCGTGACTTTCTTCGCAATTTTCGATGCCGTCGACTGTCCTGAAGTGTGTTTAGATAGGAGGGTGGGGTGGGGGGGTGGTGGTGGGGAGACTTTTGATGGGCAGAGTGACTTTGTCAGGTCTTCGCAGCCATAATCTGTGACAGGAGATTGTTCTGATTTCCAACACAAAGCGCTCTCCGGCTCCATTCTTTCCTTTTTGTTGCCATATGGCAAATCCATGTAGACATAGCCAAGACCCATTCAGTCGGCCTCAGAATGTCCTGCATCGGGGGAACAAAAGACACTTTGTCTGGCTGCTCCATTGATACCAATGGGCGAAAAAAAAATATTATAATTAATCTATGGCTATATCCAGCTAATTAACGCCCATATGCCCACGGGGAGCTGAGACGCCATTCAGGGGAGTTTTAAACTCTCAATAGTTGACATGTTAAAGACAACAGCTGTTTATGTGTTACTTTAATGAAGTCTCCGCTGTGTCGGAGACTGGACACATTCGGGGGGCTTCGGTCCCCCTGTAGTGCCAAAAAGGGTCATCTTCCTCCTATTTGTCTCTGCAGCTGTGTAACTATATTAAATTTGTCCCAGTAAACAGAAATGAAAGCGGTGTTCACGTTCTCTAAAAGGTATTCAATTTGAGCCATTCTGGGAAAGGTCAGAGGTCAAGGCTGGAAAATCAACGATTGAGCCTCTCTTCAAACGAAAAAAACAAGACTTAAAATTGTCCAAATGTCCTATAAATGCTTTAAACAGCATATCTGGAAAAAAAACAACTTTTTTATATCTGTTTCAAAGACTGGGACTGGGTGGAGGGCGGTGGTTGCTTTCGGCTCCACAGAATGGCGTGTATGACAATTATAACTTCATTTAGCCCCGTTGTAAGTATGACGGACATAAAGGAAAGAGATGACAGCCAACATAGAGACCTCATTAACATGCTTTCTACAATAGAATATCATTCAGCCAGCAGCTGCTGATGGAGAGAATCAGTCTCATGGGCCCCCGTAGACTCCATCTGACCTTTAACTCTGATGCACGGTTCCATTTGTCTCAGTCATCGACAAAATTAGCATCTATTTAACCACATATCAAAATGTGGTCAATATGAGTTGGAAGGGGTAAGAAAAACATTTTGGATGGGGGAGCGGGTCTAATTTAAGACGCTGTGTGAATCTATGCTAAACTAAAAGAAACAGATATTCCGTCTTTATACAAAAAAACATACGCACGTGGGATTATTATGTGTAAATATAGTTGTCCTATCTAATATTTTTAAGCTGTTTGCCATCTTTTTTTTTTTAAATGATGTAATCGGCCTGCTGAATTTGAAATTGGGATATAAAAATAGTAAATAGTAATAGTAAACAGAGGTGAGGGGCCTAAATCCGATCCAGGAAACTGCACGTTTCTCCAAGACTGAAAAACGCAAGCAAACAAAGTAGCCCTCTGTATATTTTTTCCTGCTTCTCAAAAACATAAAACTGACTGCTCATAAAATCCAATAGGAATGCATAACCTAACCCCTTTCTGATCACGTAAATGTTGCACCCCAAAATATGATTTGACTGGGGACACATTTTCCACCTCCCCACAAAAACACGCAATTACGCGACAGTCTTGCATGCAAAGACCGCAATTAAATATAGAAAAAAGGAGGAAAATCAGCCAGGGGTGTGTGCGGGGAAATTAGCATTTTCCATGACCATCTGGCATCGGCGCAGGCGACGGGGAACAAAGGGGAGCTGGATGGAGAGGAGAGGCGAGTGTGCCATCGTATTGACCTGCAAATGAGGCTTTGTCACCGAGTTAAAGCTCCCTGACCCTCTTCTCTGTAACCCCCCCACCCACCCCTCCTCCTGCTCTCACCGGCTCCAAAAATATTGTTTTCTTCTAAACCTATAGCAAGACGAATGGAAGGAAGCCCGAGCACCATGCTCTGCGCGCGCGTGTGTGTGTGTGTGTGTGTTCTGGAGCTGCGGATCTTAACCTGCAGGAGCTGGTGACGCAGCGCAAAACTGACCCCCCCCGGGTCTGTTTGCGTCATTAGGGTTTTCATGTGACAGGCTGCCTGATGTGATTTGCATCTGGATTTGATGCTAAAAACGAAAATAAAAAGCCAAGATCAACGATATAATCTCACCTGGTGTGTATATTGTGCCGTATACGGGCTCGTCCTCTTGCCTTTTGGGCCTCTTTCGGGCGCGTGTGTGTCGCTTTTCCTGGGACAAGCTTTTATCATTTTCAATTTATTAAAGAATGAACTTTTGGATTATTGATGACTTTTCGTTGTTTTCCTCCGTCTGATCTCGTTTGACGTTTTTCTCCAAAGGGCTCTAACGCAAACGCGTGGAGACAGGGAGGTTCTAAACTGTGTGGAAAGAAGCGTGCGTGATCTAAGACGACGCAAATGAAATCAAATTAAGAAAAATACAAATAGAAAAGAAGAAATCTATCACAAAAAATAGGCCAGGCATGTGGAGTTAAGAGTTTATTGGAAAATAAAATGGTGTTAGCATTAACAGAAGACATTTCCAATAAATTAGACTTTTATTTGGAGCTGAAGTCGTTTAATAATAATTTTAAGATACGTCGGTGTCACGTGCTTATTCCTTATCTTTTGATACTGTAACAAATATTTGACAATGGAGCATTTGACCGTGGATCTCGTAATTTAGGGGAATAACAGATAACCAGTCGATAAAGTTACTTTTACTTTGGCTCCAAAATGCAGACGTGCCATCGGAGCTTTCTTTTTTTTTCTCTTTCTCTCCTCCTTCTCTCATGGGCCTTTATTCCTCTTTACATCCACTCAGTATTCATGCCTTTGCACAACAAAGACCAGGCTCAATCCACGCAGGAGGCGGTGTGACAGGGAACTCGTGGCAGCTTTTCAAATATCTTCTTTCTCTGTCTCCTCCTTTTTTCTCGCCCTTTTTTTTTTCTCCCTTTGCATCTCGACTTTGGTCTCGGTCGGAGGGGGAGTGAATCGGCCTTCCACATCAAGCCTCCGATTCACTCTGCTCTTCCCTCGCGTCGAGGGGATCGGATTTAATTTTGCGCTCCAGAAAGGCCTGAATGTGATGGCCTAAAAGTCCTACTAAAATCCTCCTAAAAAGTAATGTAGACTGGAAAACCGGATGGCCAAGTAAAGGCCATGCTTCGGGTATTTTTTCTTGTTTCTTTCTTTCTTTTTTCCCCCTTAAACATAAGGATCAATATTAGGCTCTGTTGTTCAGATAGGCTCTACACCTACCAAATTTCTCATGATAGAAGAAACAGTTTAAATAGAACAGCATGTAGGCTATTCTAATGACGTCTCAAAGCAAAAACAATTACTAAAGTCTAAAACCAGCAAGCAACAGAGGCTAAAAATAAATTAGAAAATGACCACAAGGCTGGAAAAAAGAGAGAAAGAATGGGGACACCCTTGCTGCATTTTCTCAAATGGAATGCTGGCAATAAAAAACTAACTAGGAGTAGGAACTTCTTCCACCTTTAATCTGTTTTTTCAGTCTTTGAAAATAGTCCTCTAAAGAATATGAGAAAATCTAAGTTGCTCCATAAAACACGAAGGAACAAACTTGGTGTTTACTGTGAAAATGTTATCCATCAAGACTTTATCACATTTTTACAGAAGTCAATCATCCCACCATCAAGATGGGTTTGATAAGAGAGAAGGTCACAGTATGAAATGATCTTATTTTAGCCCTAAAAGCTGTGGGGGATTTTTTTTATATATGTGTCTCAGTCCATCTGAAGCAGTAAGGAATAGACATTTATTAAAAAGGAGAACATTTTCGAGTTATTAACAGATTATTTAAATTCTTTAACCCAACTATGACAAGTCAAAATATATTTTGATTGAGAAATTAGATGTTTTCAAATATCACACATAGTTAAGATTATATATACATGAAAAAAAATGGTTAAGTTACCAAGGCCATCTTATTTTTGACTTGTTGAAAATGTTTCAAGGAACATGATTGAATCCATTTATGTACACTGAAAAACAATTCACCCTATCAGAATAAAACAGTTTCAGTTTTAAAGTAATTCAGTGGGTCATAAGGACGTGTTTTCCAAAAGCGGGCTGTATCTTAATGGTCAATCTTTATTGGTGAGAATAAAACCTGAAAACAAAATACCGACCGACAGTAAAAAAAAAACAGACACTGTCTTAAAGTGACAAGACAACACACAGTGACA